CCTTGCTCTAACCTCAGGTATCTTTGCTTAGCATTCCGGAGGCCCTGAACTGAGCTTGTTATTATGAATCTTTTGCAAAATGGTATAACTGTGGCTAAAACGAGTTGGGGTCCTTCAGTTGCCTCTATGACCAAGCAACTGTCTGGGAGTTGCAGTTCACTAGGGATGCCCAGAATTACAACAGAATCATGTTGAGTTATCACTGGCCTAGGAAAAGATCAGGAGTCAAATATATATATATATATATATATATATATATATATATATATATATCACCATAAGTGATGAAGAAAACAATATTATGAAGAGTTCAAAGTAACTGCTTCTTTAAGTATGCTTTCCCAGAAAATATTTGGAACTTCATAATTTATTCCCATGGCAGTTTTTAGAATTCTTTTGGGGTAAGTATCTACAATTGTGATCACCATTTCCACGACTAAAGTGAGCACTATATAAGCTCATAAAAGGATGATGTGGTGGCACACTCTTGTAACCCTAACACCTGGGAGCTAGAAGCCAGGTGACAAGAGTTTATGGTTCTCCACTACACAGGGAATTACAGGTCAGTCTGCGCAACAATGTGAATTACAGACCTGGGCTACACAGTAAACTCCGCCTGAAAAACAAACGGGAAAAAATAAAAAACAAAAGGAAAGAAAATCTAAGTTTTGTTTTGTTCTTAGTTTTTGTTTGTTTTGAGATGAGGTCTCAAGTTGCCTAGGAAGGTTTGGGAGTTCAGGTGTAGCTGAAGTTGTTCTTGAACTCTGACCCTCCTGCCTTCATTCCCTGAATGCTAGGATTTTAAGCCTGTGCCACCACATCTGACCAAAAATTTTTCAATGTATCTAAAATACAAGAAAAATGGGAAATCTGTCAAGGGATGCCCAATTCGTTGTCAGCCAGAGTTCTACTTAGGCTGTAGTGGGGATATTAAAAATGAATAAGGAAGCCAGTGTGGTGGCACACTCCGTTAATCCCAACACTCAGGAGGCAGAGGCAGTCAATTCCCTGTGAGTTCAAGGCCAGCCTGGTCTACAGAGTGAATTCCAGGACTGTTTTGAAAAACAAAACAACCCGGGGGAGTTGAAGAGTGAGAAGAAACTTACAAGCTTCAAAGGTGAAAAAAAAAAAAAAACCCAAAATCAAAAAACAACCCTAAATATGAAAAAGTGGAGAAACATGGTACTAGAATAGGAACTGTCTACTGTGGTAAAAAGATGACTGGTTAAGAGGAAAGGAGTTTAGTGAGAAACCAGGAAGAGACACAGTGGGGTCTAGGAGCACCTATAACCTATAACAGAGGGCTACAGGGTAGAGATCAGAAAATGCAAATGTACAAATAGGCTTTTTTTGAAAGAGTTAACAGGAAGTCCCTGAAGGCATTTAAACTGCAAAGTGACACTATCAGATTTAAATTCACAGCTGCTGTGTAAAAGGGATCTGGAAGTAACCAGCTTAAAGTGTGTGTGTGGGGGGGGGGAATTGGCCCTTTTTTAAACTAGGTTTTTAAATTTAAACTTAACTCACTGTGTAGACCCCACTGGCCTGAAACTTAGATATCTGTCTCAGACTCCTGAGTATTGAAATTAAAGACATATACCACAATGCCCAGCTTAAAGTTTAAATTTAAAATATTTATTTGTTTTCAGAGATTAGGCCTTTAATTCCATTCTTCAATTATTTCAAATTACTTTTAAATATATTATGATATTTGTCTCTTAGCTCAGAAATACTAATAATAGCTAGCTTTTTTTAATTGGGCATATATTTGGATATATTTGAATACTATCTTAACTGGTTTTCATATATTCGTTAATCCTTATACCCTGTGAAGTTTGTACAACTATACTCATTTTACAGGCAGGGAAAATGTGACAGAAGTCACAGTGACAGAGGCATAGTGAGTCAGTTCTGCCCCCAAATTCTGCATCTTTCTTATTAGACTGGATCTTAAAAAGTTGTTTAGTACAATGCACATAAACAAAATATATGCATCATGGGAAAAGATGCTCAATTTTTTCAAATATCAGAGAAGAGAAAGGTCTAGATAGGTATCTGAGTGGGTGGAGTAGAAAATCAAGTGGTAATAGTTTAGGTAAGAGATTATGGTAGTGCATGCCTGCAATCCCACTATTTTGTAGGTGGAAGTAGTATGTGCAATGGCCAAGGAAAAGGCTTTTTTTGTTGTTTGTTTTTGTTTTTATTATAGACAAGAGAGAGAAAAGGCACAGGCATCTGCAGGGGTGTCCAGAGCTGAGACAAATGGTAGACTGAACACAGTCAGCAGATAGGCCATGGCCCTCTGCATCAGTGGAGAGAATAGCAGTGAACAGACAATAGAAAAAACAGCTTAGAGAATGGGTAGCTTGAGGGGGTTTAGGAAAGGGGAGGGGGTAATAAGGACTAATATGCTGGCATGAACTTGGAAATGTATACCAGGTTACTTATGACACTGAGTAGCCTGGAGGAGGCCAGCATGAGCTTTGATATGCTAATAGGTGCCACAGGTAGCCATGGGTCCCTTCAGCCAGAGGTAAGGGAAATGATTCCTTTTGGCAGAGGGGAACCAGAGCTCAAGGCCAACATTATTTACCTAGTAAATCCAAGGCCAGCCTAGATTGCGTGTGACCTGTCTCAGAATCAAATAAAAATAAGATTGCAGAAGATTATGTGGTCAGTGATGAAAGTAAAGGAATGGATTTAGGAGATGATTTCATAGGTATGACTGACAGGATTTGGTGATGGATTTCATAGGATGTTTAAAGATGTTTTCATGGATTCTGGTTTATATAAATGGATTACATACAGAGAGGTGTTTTGTTTTGTTTTTGGTTAAGGAAAGGCCTGACTAGGTAGTATAAACTGGTATTAGGCTCACAGCAATTGTCTTACTCAGCCTCCTGGCCTCCCCAAGGGCTGCGATCACGGAGAGTACCATCTACACTTCCTATTTCTATTAGAAACTATACAAGTTTCACTCTGACAATTAAAGACTATATGTTGTGCTAACAATAGCATAACAGGACTGGGTACATAACTTTATGGTAGAGTGTTTGCTGGAGAAAAAATATAATAGTTTTCATTCTTTGATTAAGTCTTATAAGATGAGGAAGTAGGGAGCTGGAGAGATGACTCAGCAGTTTCTGCAGAGGAGCAGGTTCTGTTCCCAGTTTCTACATGGTGGCTCAGGGGCATTCACAACTCCAGGTCCAGGGGATCCAAAGCCCTCTTCTGGCCTCTCCAGGTACCAAGCATGCACATGGTACACATACATAAATGTAGGTAAACATGCATGCACACAAAATCTTAAAAAAAAAAACTATAACTGGGAAGGTACTGTAACAGTAATGAATACTGGGAGCTCCTTAAAGATGGTTGCATGGCAGTGGGAAAACAGGACAAAAATACCCTGGAGTTTCCAGTTCCAAAGAGTGTTCCATTGAGATTGGAGATGAGTGGTAAACTGCCTTCTAGGCTGGCCTCAAACTGGCCAGTCTCACCGCTGTTTTTGCCTTCTCAGTGCTGGGATTACAGGCTTGGTCACCATGTCCTGCACTATTAACTTTTAAAGCCTGTAGTATTCCTAGGTCTCCTGGGACACCTAAGCATCACAGAAAACTATTGGGTTGCTTTAAAAAGATACTGTAATTCTATCTATTTGTTTCACTGTAGAATATGCTGTCTGTATACAAATTGGCCCTCCCCCCTATACTTTGAACCTTAAAACAACCCACAGGAAATCCTGATTTTAAAAGAATTAGTGAAGAGCTAGGAATGTGGCTCCGTTGGTAGAGTGCTTACCTAGCATGCGCAAAGCCCTGGGTTGGATGCCCAGCACTGTCTAAAAGTAAAATAAACTGACCTGGTGTGGTGGCTGCCATATACCTATATAATAGTATAACACCAGCATTCAGAAGATTCAGGAGAATCAAGAGTTCAAGGTCACGCATAGTGAGTTTGAAGCTTGCATGGGGCACTCAACACTCGTTTCAACAACAAAAGCACGAAAAAGTTTTAACAGCCTGTTAATGATTCTAGACTTCTAATTTCTTACTCGGCACTTGAAAGAAACTCATCATTTAACTTCGGCAATCGTTTTGAAATGTGGCGTTCAAATTCAGTACTCTCGAATCCCATCACTAAACTGTAGGCAATTAAGGCTGAAACATCTGTCCATCTTAACTCTCCGTGTGGTACAGCACGCCAGCCTTGAATCGTGTAGGGCTCACACGATCATGGATAACTAACTTTGGTCCGACACAGGGCTCGCGATCAAGTTCACAACAGGTCGGCTGGACAATGTGCCAGGGAATTCCGCGAACCAGGGCTCGCCAAGCGTCTGGGGCCCCCGGGGCGGCCCATCTTCCGAGCATCCTCCATCCGGGTCCGCACCAGTAGCCCCTCCTCCGCCGTCTAGCAGCTGGGGGAAAGGGGCGTGACGCCCGCCGGCCGCGGGAACTCCCGCTGACGTCACGTGACGCCGCAGGGCTCGGGCCGGGCGGGGCCGGGCGCCCTCCGGCCTTCCTCCGGG